GTTCATGTAGATAGTAATTACCATAAAATTGTAGTTTTAAGTTTATACAAGCGAATATATAACTCTATATACTTGTGTTTGATACTATGATTTTTATAAATTGTAGTGAACATTTCCATTTATTTCAAATTTTGAACCTTTTTCATAATCATTTATTGATGAATTTATGGTTGCCAATCAAAAGAAAACAATTAAATTGCTGACTTCATTCAAGTTGGATATTGACTTAGTTTTTAACAAATGCCCATTACTGTAGTCCATACAGGTGGCATCTTTTACAGGCATTAGTTTACAGGAGACTTCAAGAGGTGACAAGCAATGCACACTACAAGTGTCCCCACCTTTCCCCCTATGCTAAGCTATGGTCGTGGCCTGACAAAGCCTAGCTGCCCTGCGAACATTGCGGCAGCTACTCTGTCAAGTGCTTCTCCTTCCTTGAGCTGCTCTTTTCAGATGCTGCTCAGCCACTGGTTAAATCTGGTCCCACTGGAGCTCTTCCATTTGAATTGCAGTGTATTTTTAAAAGCAATACCTCCCTACATTTAGGGATAAATGAGTAACACTATAACCAATGTTTAGTGCAATGTCTCTCTGCAATCAAAAGCAATAAATCCGAATTGCTTCTATGACATAAATGTACCACTTTAAACAATAACCCTATTGCTGTTAAGTCAACAGGGTCACATCTCTCATCACCAACATTGTTAGCCAAGTACAAAATTCCTGCTATGTTTCTAAGGTATCCCATCGAATTGTAAGACTATTTTGTTAAAACAAAGTTATTGAATTGTTAGAAATACTGTTCTCTATGAGAAAATGATTTTAAAACCAGATTTGAAATAACTGTTGAAATACTTTCATAACAGGGCAAAAGTGGAAGAAAGCTAATGTAAAGGATGAGATCTTTGAAACATCTTTAATGAATAAAAAAATACATTAGATTTAAATCCATTTTAACTAAGTTACTTAGGACATTTTGGTTTTGGTTTCATTTGAAAAGCAAAGATCAAACGAGATTTATTTTCTCATCTGATGAGCATGTTATCCATAGAGTGTAGATGGAACCACTTGAAGATGCTTGAAAAGGGATTCTAGTGTCTGTTAGCAGACTTCAGCTTTATTCATGTTAAATCGTCTTCCCATATCTCCTATCTCACCACTAAATACATAAAATAACAGCAACACACCTGTGAGAGAAAAAGTTGACCTTTAATTTGAGTAATTTCATTGAATAAAAACTTTCTGTGTGTTTATGACTTCTGAGCTTTCTACAGCAAGATAAATAAGGCAATTTGACCCCTCTCTTCATGCTGCATCTCTGTTAGAAATGAGCTTCGTGTCTAATTAGGGTCTTTAGTATGCTTTTTGGGAAATGCACCAGTAATTCATGTTCTGTTTGTTTGTTTTATTTTATGTTTGCCACATAACATTACGTAGTGGACAAAGACAAAATGAAAAAACGTGTAAACCAGGAAGAAAAATTCCACGGAAAGTGTATTGCTAGAAATTAAGTTACCTATTTGAAAGTTCAGTTCTTGGAGAACTAAATATGAACTAAATTTCATAATAACATAAATGGTGTTTTGCTTGAGCCACATTTCTCTGAGGAGACATAAAAGAAGCAGCGTTCCCGTTAGGGACAAAAAACCTTGGTAAATGGGAGCTAATGTTTTCAATTTGACCTGAACATCTGGTAGCCAGGCACTTTAAATATTAAACTGAAACCTGTAGCTTACAATTAAATTCATTGAAGTGGGGTTTAATATTTTAATGACTTAAAATTATAATAGTAGGAACAACCTTTTTGTTTTGGCAGGACATTTGTCATCATACCTGCAATCGCAAAAGCTGTCTAAGAATCCAATAAATTTGACTTCGGCCTGAACATTTCCCAGTGGGTTACATGTCCAGTTACCTTATTCTTAAAATCCAAAGCTGTATGTTTTCTCTGACAAATCTGAGTTTGAATTATTTGGATCATTTTCTAATGTGAGCCATAAAAATAGATAGCATACATGCTTAAATGTGTTTTTTTGCATTTCTACAACCTAAAGACCAGTTTGGCTGAAAAAAATAAAATTTAACAGCTTTTAATTTGTCCTGTGGAATCTGATTCTATGTGCTTTTTATTACCTCCATATATTTATCTAAGTGAAACATAAAATGGTTGTAATAATGGAGAATTTAAAGCAGCTTTTGCACATGAGCAGTAATGCTAACTAATATGGTGAATAAAGGCTGAATGTAAATTCTCAGAATTTCTCTTTCTTGGGATGTGTTTGCTAAAGTGAGTATATCTTGGTTAGCGGATACAGGCTCCTCATCGTCTTAACTAAACTATGAAGAACTTTGATAGATAGACGGAAAAAATAGAGAGTAATCATTTATATGCAATCAGAAGCTTCGTATATTTATTTAATTTTCCAACTGCAATACAACACACATTAGATTACAGAACTTGTCAAAATATAAACCCACAGTCCTTCTTTTGCTATAGTAATGCTCTGGTATTTCCACATATGCCTCCAGAGATAACCTAGGTATGGCAAAAGTCACTATAATCTAATATCACCCATTCCTATTGATTCTACCTCATTTATGTCTCATAAATTGAGCCTCTCTTTTCCACTTCCCTTGCCACTTGGTCTAAGCCTTCAGTTACATTTCATTTGTAATATTCCAATAGCTATATTTCTGTCCACAATACCAGTGTTTCAATATTCCTGCTAGACTTATTTGCCCATATAACAAAGCTGGCCATGTCACTTCACTGCTATCAACTTCTATCAGCATCCTCTTAATTTAGAATATGAAGTCCAAACTCCTTAATGCGGCATACATGTTCTGAAACAGCCCCTTGTCAGCCTGCAGTCAGCATTCTCTGAAGGTAAACTGCACTCTTCAAAACACCTGGAACTTGTCTCATCTTCTTCCTGTTTGTCTTCCTCTACTTATCTATTAAAATGTCACCTCTTCTAAAGCTTTTTGAACTCCTTGAGGTAAAAGGAGTTCATTCATTGAAGTGTTTTCTGACAATACTTTGCTCATATTTCATTTAGAGAATTAACTTTTTAACTATTTTATATGCCCATAATCTTACAACATTCTTAGCTCCTTGAAGACAAAGATAAGTGTGTTCATATTTGTATCTTTAGAAGTTCACACAGTAGCATATCAAAGTGAATGTTCTCACTAACATTTGTTGAATGAATGAATGGAGGAATAAATGAATCCAGGAAAGTCTGGATAAAAGGCCAATATAAAAATGTTAGAAAATTTACTGAATGTAGAAAGACAATTCAAGTCATAAAACATCTACTAATTATTATTCTAAGATTGTCTTGAGACTCCCACATACAGACTAATAGTTCCCTCCCAATTTACTGAATGATATTTTTTCATCAGAATGATGAAACAATAGGCAAATATTTTTAATTTTACATAATTTCAGCCACTGTGTAAATTTTTAAAAGCACATCTATTCTATAAAGTAGGTGTTTGCACTAATTTAATATAAACTTGCATGTAGGCTCAGGGCCACAGATCTTGGTGTTAAACTTTGCTTCTGTTTTTCCAACTGGCTATCATCTATTTTTATCTACTCAGATATATGAAATAAGGCCCAAACCCAAATAAAATATTCTCTAGAAAGAATAAGGATTTATAGTGCTAGAATCCTATGAAACCTATATTAGTCTTCATATTACTTACCTGAATATGGTAATTGATATAAGAAGGGCTAGTGAAAATTTTGTAAGCAAATAAAGCCTTATACGAAGCTAATTATTGTTGAATATGTCTAGATAGATGAGATTACTTTTGTAACTTGTGATTTCATATCAGAGAACTCTATTCAACACAGCATAATAATAAGTACTGTATTAGTTTTCATGTCATTTTCCATAACTAATAATAGAGTCGAGTTAAGGAGTAAGGTCCTTGCCAAAAGTGTTTTTAATTGTTGAAATGTTTTACATTCTATGTGAAAAGAGCATATCAATATTTCTAAGTCAAAAAGAATAATTTGGTTGAGGGATGTATTTGAAAACCATAACAAAAATTTGTTTCTGTTTTGCCTTTCTGTGTGAAAATGTATCTTATTTTACCTGGATTTTCTTCTAATTGAAGGCATGATACCTTATTAGAATATGTATAATTAAAAATTGCATTTTTTTCATGAGAATGGCTGTAAATCCGATACTGGGTGATATAAAAATCTAGTCAACCTTTGCAAAATTATATTAAATGATCATAAATTTAATTACCTGGCACAAAGAAACAAATATATGGTCATTGGGTCATGGGGAAAATCATTTTGAACATCTTACTTCTAGATTAAATACTGAGGTGTTTTAAACTATATTTTCTTTGTGTTCTTTCATATTCATAAAATATTATTATCACTTCTTTAATTCTTCTATGTTGTATCATAATTTATCACTATTGTTCATTAAAAAAGGACAATATCTTAAAAAATTTAATGGTTATCCCAAAGTTTCTAAATTTTTTATCTTTATGGATAACCATTATTTTTTAAATATACTATCCAATCATGCCAATTTCTACTGCATACATAGCTGTCCAGAAAAATTTAGCATATTTAGCTTAGTCTCTTTTTTCTCATGAAAAGCCTAGATTTAATTTTTTTCTTTATGATTACAGAGAGGCTGGTCTAAAGTCAAGTTGTCTAAGAACAAGCTAAGAATTATAAGCACTAAAATCATATTTTAAAATCTGAGCAACCAATATAGAGAAAAGTTAAACAATATACTTGAATTTGTCAGATGAACACTTTCCTGTAATCCCCACAGGGGCAATCACACGATTTGACACCAATATTTAAACTTTGAAAATTATGCGATCATCTATTACATAATGGATGGTACACGTCCTCAAACCTTTCCTATCACTTATAGTACAAGAGAGAGCTACCCAATTAAAAAAGAAATCCCTTCTGTTATTGATAATTGCCTAAGCTGCTTCTTCCTTTCCTTTTTCAGAATGAAGAACAAATTTTGGTATTTTGAGTTTGGCACATCTGAAACTTTCTCAGCCACCTGCAAGAAGCTACATGAATCTGTAGAAATAGAAGTAAGAAAAATGAATTCTCTTTTATAATACTATGAAATGACTTGAGTTTGATTATTAATATGTTTGTGGTAACCCATAGAAGGAGTTATACTTTGAGCAACCCGTATAGCTTAACCATGATTCTAAAATTTCATTTCTCCCACTTATTAGGAATCCAGCACTATCTGAAATACTAGAATAAGGTTAAGTTTGGGTATGAGTTGTTTTAATATAGTATAAAAGAATGAGAGGTGGAACACAACTTTAGAAATCAATGGAGAACTTACTGGCATAGTGTGGATAGAAAAATGTAAGATAAAAGAAAGTACTTGAAGAGAAAGAAAAAAGTTGCAAGATACATTAAAAAAACCATTATTTTCAGATCTCAATATCTTATAACCTTTAAAACACAGTTCACTAAAATTGTACTTACTTTCGTGAATAAAGGTTAAAAAGTATACTTTTCCATTTCATTCCCATTCATTAACTAGCTTTTCTCAGTTCCCAAGGTTGCCATTTCCCCATTACATTTATAGGAAGTGGAAAAGCTAAGAAAGAGCAAAGATAGCAAGAAAAGATACACTTTAAAAAGATTTGGAGCAAATAGGTCTACCAAAAAGAAAAAAAATAGACATTGTAGGACTAAAAAGTTCGGAGATGGGTTATAATAGAAAATGACTTGGTTTTATTGAGAGGTTTTAGGGGTTAAAGTAAAAAGAAGAGTTATATTTTATTAAGTGGTAAAGACAAACCAAAAGAACAGAATTATAAAGCAAGAACACCTAATGACTAGCTGATATAAATTGAGAAATATTGGCTTCAACACTTTTCGTTTTAAAAATAAATGCATAACTCATCAACTGAGACCTGAATTATTAATGGCATATATTCAAGTAAAAAGTTTGGTAAATGGAAGTAGTTGTGAACCACATAGGATCATGATGGCCTGGCTAGGTTCTTCGTTATCCAAGCTTTCTAATTTACTGTTAATGATAACAACAGAAAAGTGGTACTATTTCAGAATGCAACATTTTCAGACTTTTTTCTCGTCATGATTGGTGGGTAAATTGAAGCATTAGAAGTAGAATTGACGGTCATGGAATGAAGAAAGCCCTTCATGGCTGAATCAGATCATAACCCTGAACAGGAATATAATCACCAAAGGTGAAGGATTGGGCTCCACTTGAACTTTCTGTGATTACTATTTATGAATATATATGCACATATGTTTTATGTATATGCGTATAGTGTTATATATGTACATAGTTATATATGTGTATATATATTTATAAAGAAACATCAGGGACCAGCCCAGCAGTGCAGTGGTTAAGTGTGCATGTTCTGCTTTGGTGGCCCAAGGTTCGCCAGTTTGGATCCTGGGTGTGGACATGGCACCACTTGACAAGCCATGCTGTGGTAGGCATCCCACATATAAAGGAGAGGAAGATGGGTATGGAAGTTAGCTCAGGGCCAGTCTTCCTCAGTGAAAAGAGGAGGATTGGCAGCAGATGTTAGCTCAGGGGTAATCTCCCTCAAAAAGAAAGTCAAAAATCTTTCTTTACCCTCAATAATCAATATTTAAAACTGGATTTTGAACATTTCTTACCCTTAGAAACCTATCTTCAAAGAAAATCTGTAGCAGAAGGCAAAAATGTAAAAATTAAAAATATGAGATCTGGAGGCCAGACCAGTGGCACAGCGTTTAAGTGTGCACATTCCGCTTCGGTGGCCCGGGGTTTGCCGGTTTGGATCCCAGGTGCAGACATGGCACGGCTTGGCAAGCCATGCTGTGGTAGGCGTCCCACATATAAAGGAGAGGAAGATGAGCATGGATGTTAGCTCAGGGCCAGTCTTCCTCAGCAAAAAAAAAGAAGAGGATAGACAGCAGATGTTAGCTCAGGGCTAATCTTCCTCAAAAAAAAAAAAGTTCTGGTTGAATGTAGTGTGGATACTCTGAAGCCTCTTGCTCTTCTCCTTACCTTATCCTACCACTGAACACAGAGTGAAAAAAAATTGATCTAACAGAGATATTCCATGTTCATGAATAGGAAAATTCAATATTGTCAAGACGTCAGTTTTTCCCAACTTGATCTATAGATTCAATACAATCCCAATCAAAATCTCAGCAAATTATCTTGTAAATATCAACAAACTAATTCTTAAGTTATATGTAGAGTCAAAAGACCCAGCATAGCCAACACAATATTTAAGGAGAAGAGCAAAGTTGGAAGACTAACACTAACTGAATTCAAGACTTACTATAAAGCTACACTACTCAAAACAGTGTGATATTGGTGAGAGAATAAACAAATAAATCCATGGAACAGAACAGAGACCCCAGAAATAGACCCTCATGAATAGAATCAATTGATCTTTGACAAAGGGGGAAAGGCATTACAATGGGGCAAGGAAGATCTTTTTAACAAATGGTATTGGAACAAGTGAACATCCACCGACCAAAAAACGAATCTAGACACAGACCTTCCCCCTTAACAAAAGTGAACTCAAAATGGGTCACAGACTTAAATTAAAAACACGAAACTATAAAACTCTGGAAGATGACATAGAAGAAAATGTAGATGACCTTGGATATGGTGATGCCTTTTTAGATACAACACCAAAGTCACAATGCCTGAAAGAAATAATCTATAAGCTGGACTTTACTACAAGTAAAAACTTCTACTCTGTGAAAGACAATGTCAAGTGAATGAGGAAACAAGATAGACTGAGAGAGAATATCTGCAAAAGACACATCTGATGAAGAACTGTTATGGAAAATGTACAAAGAGCTCTTAAAACTCAACAATAAGAAAATAAACAACCCCACTGAAAAACGAGCCAAAGACTCACCAAAAAGATTTATAGATGGCAATAAGCATATGAAATGATGCTCCATATCCAATGTCATCAGGGAAATGAAGATTAAACAACAATGAGATCCCACTACACCCCTGTTAGAATACTGAAAACACCAAATGCTGCTGAGCATGTGAAGCAACAGGAACTCTCATTCATCGCTGGCGGGAATGCAGAACGGTACAGCCGCTTTGGAAGACAGTTTGGTGGTTTCTTACAAACTAAACATACTCTTACCATGTGATCCAGCAATCATACTCCTTGGTATTTACCCAAAAGATTTGAAAACCTCTGTCAACTCAAAAACCTGCACATAAATGTTTATAACAGCTTAATTAATAATTGCCAAAACTTGGAAGAAAACAAGAGGTCCTCCAATAGCTGAATGGATAAATACACTGTGGTACATCCAGACAGTGGAGTAATTATTCAGTGCTAAAAGGAAATGAGCTATCAAGCCATGAAAAGACAGGGAGGCGCATTTTCCTAAGTGAAAGAAGCTAATTGGAAAAGGCTGCATACCATACGATGCTGATACATGACATTCTGGAAAAGGTATAACTATGGAGACAGTAAAAGATCAGTGGTTGCCAGGGTTGTAAGAGGAGGGACGGATGAGTAGGCAAAGCACAAAAGATTGTTAGAGCAGTGAAAATACTCTGTATGATACAGTGATGGTGGATAAATATTATTATACATTTGTCAAACTCATAGAATGTACACCAAGAGTGAACCCTAACGTAAACTATGAACTTTGGGTGATTAGGAAGTGTCAATGTAGGTTCATCTGTTGTAACAAATGTACCACTCTGGTGGGGAGATTTTGATAATGGGGGATGCTATGCATGTGGGGGGACAGAAGGTAATGAGAAATCTCTGTACTTTCCCCTCAATTTTGTCATGAACCTTAAACTGCTCTAAAAAAAATAGTCTTAATTTAAAAAAAAAACACACTAATCTCTAGTATAATATGTGTCACAAGCAAAAAATCTTCATGGAAAAGGTTGTATCATATAGCAAAAGACATTTGAATGAAAGCAAATGTGTAAAACATTGATTTGAAAGTTATAAATGATAAATTTGAGTGATTTTGTTTCACAGAGCTTTACATCTTCTAGAAAAACTAGTTAGAATGTTCCCCCAAGAAATCTGGGCAACTAGAACTAAGTTATTCTTCTTAGGGTTGTGTTTCTACATGCCCTCCAAGTCTGGCTTCCCAGATCTGCATTTACTGGCTTATTCAGGAAACCACTTCAATAGCATTTATAAATCAGAACCAGCGCTGTGCACTCCATATTCTATTGTTGCATATCTAGAAATATTGCTATAATTTTACATATCTGTCTCAATTTTGAAACTTGGTGTGTATGTGTGTATATGTGTTTGTGTGTATGGATGGTAATGCAAAATCAGCTTCTCTACTCACATTTTAATGAATCCAGTCTATCATATTAGCAGAATGCGCCTTTCCACCCTCAAGGTTACTTTATAATTAAATATAACAAAAACAGCAATTTGGAAATTTGATTCTGTTTGCTGTTGCTTCCTATTTGGCCTAAAATTATTCCAAATGTGGTTTGAGAATATATAACAGAGAATGAAACCACTTCAGTACAAGAGTACCTCAAGTAATGGATGTATGTTTTATCTGCAGCTTCTTCAAAACAAATCATTTGCTGTGTGACTCTTTATTTTACATTTCTCTTTCATATAGGAAGCTTTTCCCAAAAGGATGAATATTTGGAATGATATGAATATCATAGATAATAGTCGATAGTGATAATAGCTAAGATTTGCCTATTATTAACTATACATTGGGCTTGGCGCTAAGCAATGTACATACATTATCAAGATTTAAGTCTTTGTCAAAATCCTGTGAATAAGAGAGATCCTATCCTTTCTCCACTACAGACATGAGCAGATGAGCATTTTTTTTAATAATTTAAGAAAAACAAAAATTATACTGCTGCCAAAATGTTTAAATCTAAGGAAACAAATCAATTGGAAAATATATATAAATACTGTGTCAAGAACTGATTTTATTTTGTAGATTGTTACCTAAGCACTTTGTCTTCCAAGTCTTTCTTTCATATTATTATACTTTCTTTCTTTCTTTTTTTTTTTTTTTTTTTTGCTTGTTGATTCATCACCTTGTTTGGCTTTGT